ATGGTATCACAGGATACATTGTACATCCTTGTTAACTGTTTATGGTATCACAGGATACATTGTACATCCCTGTTAACTGTTTATGGTATCACAGGATACATTGTACATCCCTGTTAACTGTTTATGGTATCACAGGATACATTGTACATCCTTGTTAACTGTTTATGGTATCACAGGATACATTGTACATCCTTGTTAACTGTTTATGGTATCACAGGATACATTGCACTTCCTTGTTAACTGTTTTTGGTATCATATGATACAATGTACCTCCTTGTTAACTGCTTTTGGTAACTGCTTTAACTGTTTTTGGTATCATATGATACAATGTACCTCCTTGTTAACTGCTTTTGGTATCACAGGATACATTGTACTTCCTTGTTAACTGTTTTTGGTATCACATGATACAATGTACCTCCTTGTTAACTGTTTTTGGTATCACATGATACATTACACCTCCTTGTTCTCTATTTTTGGAATCACAGGATAGACTTTTCCTCCTTATTCGCTGTTTGTAATATTGCAGGATACACTTCCCTATTCAATGTTTTTGTTGTATCGCATGATACTTATTCTTTATTTATTTTTTGTGGTATCGCTTAACACTTCCTTATCAAATGTCGGTGGTATGGAAGGATACCACCTTGTCCACTGTTTGTTATACAGCAAGACACATATCATATCAATATATCGACTGTGACATTCAAGTACTTACTTACTGTATATACATGTATTATAAACTTCTATGTATTCATATTCATTCTGTTTATTATAAGCATCATACATTATAAGTTCTGACCTACTTATTGACGTTGAACTCTTTGACCTATTTATTCACTGTATGCATTATAAACTTTGACCTTATTATTCACTCATTAGACATTAAATGTTGTGACCAACTTATTCACTTGATACGTTATAAACTTTGACTTAATTATTCACTCCATACATTAAACATTGTGACCTACTTATTCACTTTATATATCATAAACTCTGACCTACTTATTCACGCTACACATTGACATTTTAGATGTTAAATGTTTTTTATGTTATTACCTAGACATCTTTAGACTTCGAGGTTACCGGACACTGTGTTATCGGAAAACTTAAAAATATTTTAAAACATATAATGGTACTTGACAGATAATTTGACCTTCTTATTCAATGTATACATTAGAAAGGGTGACCTACTTGTTCACGGTATAAATTAACTTTGACATTTTGACATTTAAAAACGTAAACTGGTCCTTGGAAGATAATTGAGAGATCTGTTTTTGTTTAATTTCCTTCTTTTAAATCAATAGCTTCTTTTTTTTCTTTTTTTTTTTTTACATTATTACTGATTTTTAGTTACCAAAAACAATCGTTTACATGATGTTAAATTGATAATGTTATACCTGGAAGAACAGGAAATCGTTATATTTATGATGAGACAGATACGTGTGAGGACGATTTTACATTGTCTGCATCTGGAAAGACAGTTAGTCGTATAAAAAAATTCAATGTGATCTTTATAATTTAGGAGAGAACGGCATTTTTTGTACTTTTCCAAGCACATAACCAAATAAATTTTATTGTGTTCAGCTGTCAAATCTGGAGCCATCTTTCTGTTGATGTAAGATCATCACCATTATTCAGCTCTTTCAGAAACAGAGCAATAAAGCATTATATAGCATGTATATGTAAGCAAGAAGTTTGTGATTTCTGTAATAATTTGGGTTTACGTTATCATAGTTATCATTGTATGAAAAAGAGTGTCATTTATATTTCAAGTGTTTTAAGTACAGTGTACCTTTCATCTAAGTTATATTCAACTTTAGAATGTCTACTAATCTTGGGGACCCTGAGAGACATTTCAGGTTGTAGATCAAGTCGATAAATAAAGTTTTATTATTATTATTATTATTATTATTATTATTATTATTGCAATCTAAACTTAATAAGTATTTGTATATTAGTATATTTGAAATGCAACTTTGTCTAAGAAAGGATAATTTTTCAAGTATCCTTTTACTGACTTAGGGGTCGGATAAAATGTGCCATAGCCAAGCTTTGAACCCCATCTATAACCAAGATCTTGTTTACAAGTATACTGCACTTTAAATTACTGTTTGTTCCTTAGTATACAAGCAACTAACCTATAGGTATTCCGGTAGTAGCTTGTTACTTTATTTACTTACTTTTGAATCGATTAGAAGCTTTGCAATACTGACTCTTTCAAACGTGCAAATGATCTAGTAAATTGTATATCATTTGAAACAAAATGTCGAACTTTACAGAGGACATTGGCATTTAATAGCAAATATTTCGGCAAATAAACATCGTACAATGTTTTCGTATGGTTAGATAACCTAACGTCAATATATAACCGGATCATTTGTTGCACAGTCGATATGTTCATTAACATGAAATTAGTATTTTCATATGAATTATTTATTGTTGCTGAGTAGGTAATGTTACAGTGTAAGAATGCAATACAATAGTAAATGTTTTCATATTTTCAGTAGCTTAATCTGAAATATTTATCGAGAGACATATTTATTGGTCTTTCTCCGGAACATGAGCTGCACGTGTATGTCATGTTAAAAGAAAGATGCACAACTACAATAGCCCACATTTGTTACGTACATGGTGGAATATGGAAAATGTACCATGAAAAACAATACCGACTGGAACCATATACACATGCAAATGTATAGACTGTTGATACGCGACCTTGAAAAATAAACTTAAATGAATTCAAATGCGATGTTCATTCTGAGTATTGTGCAATTGCATTTTATATATAAAATAAAAGATAAAATTTCTTCTATATGACAGATATTATGTGCATATACAGCAACCTTAAAAGCCATCAGATACAAATCGAGTAGATATCATAAATATTACAGATTTTCGTCTTAGGTACAAGAGAGCTAATGCGATATCTTATCAAGAAAACCATATTTTTACAAGAAATAACGAAAATAACTTTTCCCAGTGGAATTTCGAGTCTGAAATCGAGTTGATATAAAAATTGTATGTATATATATATAAATATATGATTTTTATATGTAACTGTCTGCAATCGAGTGAAATCAATGATGGAAATTCGGGGGAAAAAGTGCCCAGTAACAATATCCATACCGTTAATATTATTTAATAGACTCTATATTTTAGCCCTTGTTAACGAGCAAAAAATTATCTTAAGCTCATTCATCACCTTTCAACCCTAAGATTGAGATATTTTTGGTCTTTACAAAGGGTAAAGGCCGAATGGGTTCTCGGGACGCTTTACACTATCGTTCTCGATTATAGTTTGTAACAACTTTGTCTATGCTTTATGATCTATACTATTCACAATTTGATAGGGAACACTTTTTTATTTAATGTGTAACGGTATCACCAAGCGAAGAATAACAGTATTAATTTGCTTCAATGCTCATTGTACACAGATACCCCGAAAATCGCAAATTACGACAAAAGGGGCGAAAAATTAAGTCCTACGAAACAGTGTCGTTCAGCGAAAAATACAGTGTTAGTATCGAATATAACGTCCTCGAGCATCAATTACGCTCTGGCAGCGGCGGCGCATGCTTCTTATCAAGTCTCGTATCCTGTTTTGGGGAATACTTGTCCATTCAGCGACGAGAGCTGCTTGAAGTTCCTGAAGCGTTCTAGGTTGGATGTTTCTCTCCGAAACAGCGTTCTGAAGAATGTCCCACACGTGTTCTATAGGATTGAGATCTGGAGATCGGGCTGGCCAGTCCATCCTCTTAATTGTTTCTCTTTCCACATACTGTTCAGTCACACGAGCTCTGTGTGGTCGCGCATTATCGTCCATAAGAATGAATTCCGGACCTATAGCACCAGCATAAGGCCTGACGTACACGTCCAGGACTTCGTCACAGTACCTCTGTGCAGTCAAACTGCCATTAAGGAACACATGAAGGTTGGTCTTGTCTTGCGTGCTAATGCCATCCCAAACCATAACAGATCCACTACCGTATCGGTCATGTTGGGAAACGTTAGCGGCATGGAACGTCTCATTTGGTAGTCGCCACACCCTGGCACGTCGGTCAGTGAAAGCTAAGCAGAATCTAGACTCGTCTGTAAAAAGTACGGGGGACCAGTCATGGAGGTTCCAATTCACATGATCACGAACCCAAGCAAATCTAGCTTGAACATGTCGTAACGTCAAAGGAATTCTCACAGCAGGTCTGCGCGACCTTAAACCAGCATCACGAAGTCTATTTCTCATAGTTTGTGTGGAGATACGAGTTCCGGTGGCATTCTGGAAGTCATTACGTAGTGACGTAGCTTTGATGAACCTTTGACGTCGAGCTGCAATAACAAGATAGCGGTCTTGACGCTGCGAGGTAAGTCGTTCCCGACCCCCACCATGTGTTCTGGAGACAGTTCCTTAATTTTGGTAACGATTCCTCATACGGGATACAACACTCTGGGACACACCAATGTCATTGGCCACCTCCCTTTGTGACCTACCAGACTGGATCATACCAATGCCCCTGTCCATATCTGAAGTGCTTAGACGTCTTCTAGCCTGCTGTCGGGGCATTTTGAAACCATTAAAATTCAAAATGTAAAGCAAAAAGCGAGAGATTCTGCCACAAACGTATTGATGACAATCTGCACGTAAGAGGCTCGTGCGTGTACACGTGACGTGTAGGCGTTACGGGTGACTGACCACATAAACATCCGATACACATAGACCTCGGTACAGATATAAACCAACAAATATATGGAATACGTATTATTTTATCTTAAAAGAAAATTTTGCTAATTATTAGGTGTGATCCCTATCAAATTGTAAGTAGCATATTTACGTAATGTGACTTTTGTAATACTTTGTGTCTTGATAAAGGGGCAGATTGTCTCAAAACAATTTACTTGTCCTTACTGTCATTATTACTTCATTAATCAAACACCAATAAAAGTTAGTCTTTAATGTGCAGTTCAATAATATCGTATACTAGAGTAATCAAGAATTCATTTTTAAAATGTGTTTGTTGTTTAATATAGGTGCTGTGTCCAACTGCTGTAGTGTAACCAGAAAAGAGAGTGATGTCACGTGTTTTGGGTGTCAACTGAAAGCCGTACCTCGGGATCTGCCAATCAGCACCACTGCATTAAATCTTGAGAATAACACCATTGAAATACTAGACAATAATTCATTTAAAGACCTACTAAACCTCCAACATCTGATACTTGCGAGAAATGGAATGCATAGTATTACTCCTGGAACCTTTGACATTCTTGGGAACCTGACATACTTGGATCTTTCATATAACGATTTGGAACATTCTGCGTTTGATTCCTCAGTTTTCAAACGACTTCATCAACTTAGATTTTTATATTTACATGGAAATCGATTTCATTTGAAAAAGATATACCCTGAAAATGCGATATCCTTTTTAACATCGCTTCAAAATTTAAGGATAGATATATTCAATGGATTTCAATTTGGAAATGGATTTCTTAATTTGACTGAGCTGAGAATCTTTGATGTTGACCATATAGGCACGGAACGCGTGTCGATTCAAAATACATCTTTCAAAGGACTTGCAAATTCAAAAATATCGCGTTTGTATCTTCAATTTGGAATGAAGAATATAGAAGCAAGTTCGTTATCACCATTCAGCAGTCTTGTGTCGCTTGTACTGGATTCCAAGAAATCCTTGACAATTCAGGAGGTTCTGTTGGGCCTGTATGGTTTACGAGGACGTAATATGGAATCGGTAACACTCACGTCTAATCATGTTCATTACAGTCCAAATGGTTACTTGGTGAAGTCAGATATGGTGTCTCTGGGAATGATTTGTGTCAGGAAATTAGACATGACGAGCAATTTTATTTCGGGTATAAGAATGGAAGCAGTGTTGGCCTGGACTAGTAGGGGATGCCTGCAAGTTTTAGATATCTCAAAAAATGCGATCACGTCACCACAACTCTTGAGCCTGCTGGTGTTGTTTCCATCTATAATATATGTATATTCTTCGTACCAAATCGTTACATTTACGAGGAAACGTCGCGTTTCAATGCACGAAGAAAAAACCGTGTATTTACCGAAACATTTGCAACATCTTTCTCTTGATCACGATCCTTTTAATTTTGTCCTCGAAGACGTAACAATGGTCGCAGAAGACAACAATCTGAGAGTGCTGGATATCAGTTACCCTGCACATAGAACAGAATGTTCAGAAGGATATATTCAAGGTCTGATACATTTAGAAAAATTGTACATATCTGGTTGGAAGTGTTCAACCCCAAGTACTCATTTATTTGCTAAATTTCCGAGCTTGTCACACCTTGAGGCTAAAGAATGTGACCTCGGAGATAGACTTAGTTTGGATGCAGAATCACTGTTCACAGGAATGTTCAACCTTTCATATGTTGATCTCGCTTTCAACAATATTGAGACTTTAAATTCTATTATATTCAATGACCAATCTCATTCATTGAAAACCCTCAATCTTACAGGGAATCGAATGGAACGTCTTGCCCTGGAAACTCTGGAGCATCTTCATGTATTAGAAACTCTTGATGTTCGTAACAATCGTATATCTGCTTTATCAGACACGGAACGTTCATTAATTGATGTTTGTGCATCTAAATCAGAAAATTTTAAAATAGTTTTGACTGGAAATCCTTTAGTTTGCAGCTGTGACAATTTGGAGTTTCTTGTCTGGTTTCAGACGACCAAAGTTGCTCATGACAGGGATAGCATTGTATGCAGCACACAAGAAGGAAAAAAAGTCCGCATCACAAAGTTCCTTGAAACCTTTGATGAATTCCAGGACAGTTGTGTCGCTCAATTCTGGTTATTAATCTCCGTTACTCTCGCCTTGATTGGAATCTTCTTGGGTATTCTCTTTCGACTTGCCTGGCGGAAAAGCGTTTGGTTACGAGTGAGTTGTCGACAACCCTTAGAGCATGAAATATATCCGTATGATGTATTCATATCATACTGCGACAAGGACACTAAATGGGTAGCAAAAACATTGGTTCCGTGGTTAAATGAAAAGAACATTGAATATTGCATTGATGAAAAGAGCTTCAGTCCTGGCCTTGATCAAGCCGATAACATTTTGAACGCTATAGATAATTCACATAAAACTGTTTTTGTTGTGAGCTGTGCTTTTCTAGAACATCAATGGCCAATGTTTGCAATGAAATTAGCCAGCACTTATTCATTTCGCGATGGACGTGAAAATATGAATATCATTATTCTACTTAACGATATAAAGTGTAGTGAGTTTCCTAAGCTCATCCGTAAGAACTGGGACATAATTCGTCCCCTACATTGGCCAAATGAAAAGAATACCGATCGACGCCAATTGATTGCAGCTACTCAAACTTTTTGGAAACGGTTGGTAAAACGCATTCAAAGAGGAAACGATCGCTTTATAACAGAATCAGCTTCTGAATCAAGTTTGTAGTTTGGCCTGGACTCATTACACGCAGCCGCTTAACAATTAGTCAAGCAATTTTGGCGAAAAAATATAATAAAAACGAAAAAGAAATTAAATGTTATCGGATCATCAACACCTGTTAAATAATTCGGTCATCACTCGTGTAAAAACACCTCATGGGCTCTGATAAGTTTTAGATTGACGTCATCAAGGTTGCTAAAACGCATTCAAATAAAAAACGATTGCTATGTAAATTAGTCGGTTTATGAAACAAATGTATAAATAGTTTGGTTTTGGCATCATCCAAAATGCCCTTACAACCGTAAACTGATAATACTTAAAGATAAACAGAATTTCGAAGGAAAAAACCTGCTCCTATCTTTGCTTGCTTGGTTGGGTTCCATGGAAGACTAACTTTATTGACCTGATGGTTTCTTTGTTGTAAACCTAGTTCTCGTTAGTATGTCTATTGGTTTTTTTGTTGTAAACCTAGTTCTTCCTTTCGTATACCTGATGGTTTCTTTGTTGTAAACCTAGTTCTCGTTAATATACCTGATTGTTTATTTGTTGTTAACCTAGTTCTCGTTAGTATGACTAATGGTCCCTTTGTTGTAAACCTAGTTCTTCTTCGACAGCTTGACGCTATTATAGTATACATGTGTTGACAATAACATGGCAGGTGTCGTCGACGAAGAGGGAGACCCGTTTTTATTCTGGAACATCTGATCTAATTTTCTTTGTTCTTTTTCAACTGTCTACATTTAAATCTTTCTATAAATATATAATTCAAACCTTATTCTACAAGAAAAGCAGTGAAACAAGCTGTGATATAACGTATACACGGGTTTCCATGTCTCACGTTAAGTACATTCTGGTTCACGAACCACATCGTATATGTAGACAAACAACATTCTTTTAAAATTGTGGAATCGAATAACGCAAGAAAAAAATAATAAAAACTGTGTATCTGCGTATGATCGGCATACCTGCTCGATGCACGATATCATCAAACATTCAAGACGTTTGGTTATGAATGGACGGCAATGTTATGGATTGAAAAGGAAGGCAAATTGTTGGTGTTTACCATCCCCAACTACTTAATTTCTAGTAAGTGACATTTCAAAATATCAATTGCCGTCTTATTGAAAAATGAAAAGACAATGAAAAGAAAAGTCAAGCAAAACAGGCACCGTGTAAATTAAATTTTCTATCCTTTCTACACCATGCCCCTATGTGTGTGGGTTTTTTTATGTTAAAAATAATGCTTAACTGCATTACTGTTAAGCTAAAAGACCAGGATATTTTTCCTCAACATAAGCGTTCCGAATAGTTATGTTAATTCAAACTATTAACTAAAGGTTAAAATCGTTTTTTGTGTATACAGAGCATCGTACCTTAATCCTTAAAATAAAATCAGGTTTTTTTTGTTTTCTCGTTGTAAAATCACACTAAACACACGAGTAATTTACCCAGCGTCATAATGGAGAGTCCACACAACGATGTCCGCAGGTTAAGGTGTCTCTTTACCTTTTATTGACTTCACTGTAGTGGGTACATTCCGTCACAACTGTTGTTACAAAGAATCACTATCAGTAACAGTTTGTTCAGTTATTCATATCGTCATACCCTGACGATAGCAAGTCCGTCAGACCTGACTAAACACAACGTTTCACAAGAAAGTATATATATAGAATCCCTATTCTCCCGATTACTTCCTGAATGAATGCTCTTTCAGAAGGATGTATAAATATGTGATTGTGCTGGTCTGCTTTTGTAGGATATTTCGATATTCAGGTAAAGATATTCAATGTATTGATAATGTTTGTTGTTTATTGTAAAACTTGAGGTTTTGCGTTAAGTAATTAACAATTATCCTACCTGTGTATCGGTGTCGTTCTAAAGATCTGTTCACTTGTTTTACTGTTGTGACATAAAGACAGTTGGTATTCTTTTCTTTTGGAATAGATTTAACTAAAATTCACTTCAACATGGTAATGCAGCATATATATTTTAATATTACTCATTGCTGATAATATTGTAATTGATTTCTATACCAATTTCCATTGTTTATAAATTAATGCTACGACCAACTAATTATTATTATTAGTGGTGTTCTTCACTGCTTTTCACTGCTTGTGGCATCGCAAGACACATCCTATTCACTTTTTTTGGTATCGTAGGATACCTCTTTTTAACTGGTATCGTATGGTATCTTATCATTCACTGTTTGTGGTATCGTAGGATACCTCCTATTACTTGCGTGTGGTTTTGGAAATATCTCATATTCACTGTTTGTGGTATTGCATGATACCTTCTGTAAACTATTTGTGGTATCACAAGATATCTATTAACTTTATGATTTTGTCATATCACAAGATTATCTACAATTTGTTCTAACGTAGGATACCACCTTATCCCCTGTTTGTGATGTAGTTGTATTTCATATAAAAGATTTGTGGTATTGTAATATATTGTTACCGTAACAGGGCCACTAGGGTATGACGCATCCATTACAAGTGACTTCACACACCATTTCACAAGAATTTTTTATGTACAGAATGCCTTTTCCTCTCGATTACTTCCCGAATGAAGGGTCTCTCAGAGAAATACGTAATCATGTTAATCTGCTGTATTATATTGGAATATTCAGATAAAGAGATTCGATGTAGGAAATCTTGTTTACTTCATAAAAATCCATTCACTTTTGTTTACTTTTAAATATACATTTCGAATACGTTATGATAACATGGGATGTTTTTGAAGAAAATTGTACAAAATCATCTACTTTTGTTTTATTATGGAAATCGTACACCCCAGTTTTTCATTTAGATAAACATGTGATATTTAATTCGCGGATTTATCTTATCAGATCGATTTACAAACAATTGCGCGGCCCTGATTGCGTCATATCAGATGTGCGTTGTTTTAAGCCGAACAGAATGAAATAGTTGTGTAAATTATGAAATTAACAGAAAATAAGCCTATTGAAGTAATAAAATTGTAATCTAAACAGAAAGAGCATACACACTAGTGTATTTACCCGACACCCTGCTTAAAATCTGTGATCGTAACCTTTCAGTTCCGGGTTGCCAGATGCGCTATATTTAGACGGCATGGGTGGGAGTATTCAACTGATCACAGAAGAGATATCCTGATGCTAACAAAAGCTATTAAAGTAATTAGAATAAGTTCATAAAAGGTCCATAACAGCTAGAACTTTGCAACGTGGACGAGATATTTCTTTAATTCATTTACACGTATTACAGATGATATTAACTTCTTTTGGGATAGGTTTGACTAAACTCTATTTAAACATTGATCACAATTCATTTCAGCATGAGATAACAGCAATGGTATTTCATTGCGACTCTTTGTAAATAATTTACTCACTATATCTGTTATTGTTGACATCTAACTTGGCACTGTATAATAAGTCATAATGGTCCACTTCCTGTTTGTGAAATGTACATCCTTGTTAACTGTTTATGGTAACATAGGATACATTGTACATCCTTGTTAACTGTTTATGTTATCATAGGATACATTGTACATCCTTGTTAACTGTTTATGGTATCATAGGATACATTGTACATCCTTGTTAACTGTTTATGGTATCATAGGATACATTGTACATCCTTGTTAACTGTTTATGTTATCACAGGATACATTGTACATCCTTGTTAACTGTTTATGGTATCACAGGATACAATGTACCTCCTTGTTAACTGTTTTTGGTATCACAGCATACAATGTACCTCCTTGATAACTGTTTTTGGTATCACAGGATACATTGCACCTCCTTGTTCTCTATTTTTGGTATCACAGGATAGACTTTTCCTTTTTATTCGCTGTTTGTGATATTGCAGGATACACTTCCCTATTCAATGTTTTTGTTGTATCGCATGATACTTATTATTTATTTATTTTTTGTGGTATCGCTTAACACTTCCTTATCAAATGTCGGTGGTATGGAAGGATACCACCTTGTCCACTGTTTGTTATACAGCAAGACACATATCATATCAATATATCGACTGTGACATTCAAGTACTTACTTACTGTATATACATGTATTATAAACTTCTATGTATTCATATTCATTCTGTTTATTATACATACATTATAAGTTCTGACCTACTTATTGACTTTGAACTCTTTGACCTATTTATTCACTGTATGAATTATAAACTTTGACCTTATTATTCACTCTAGACATTAAATGTTGTGACCAACTTATTCACTTGATACGTTATAAACTTTGACTTAATTATTCACTCCATACATTAAACATTGTGACCTACTTATTCACTTTATATACCACAAACTCTGATCTACTTATTCACGCTACACATTGACATTTTAGATGTTAAATGTTTTTTATGTTATTACCTAGACATCTTTAGACTTCGAGGTTACCGGACACTGTGTTATCGGAAAACTTTAAATATTTTAAAACATATAATGGTACTTGACAGATAATTTGACCTTCTTATTCAATGTATACATTAGAAAGGGTGACCTACTTGTTCACGGTATAAATTAACTTTGACATTTTGACATTTAAAAACGTAAACTGGTCCTTGGAAGATAATTGAGAGATCTGTTTTTGTTTAATTTTCTTCTTTTAAATCAATAGCTTCTTTTTTTTACATTATTACTGACTTTTAATTACCAGATACAATCGTATACATGATGTTGAATTGATGTTGTTATACCTGGAAGAACAGGAAATCGTTATATCTATGACGAGACAGATACGTGTGAGGACGATTTTACATTGTCTGCATCTTGAAAGTTAGTCGTACATAAAAAAAAATTCAATGTGATTTTCATAATTTAGAAGGTGTACTGAAAATGAAATGTTGAAACAGAGAGAACGGCATTTTTTGTACTTTTCCAAGCACATAACCAAATTAGTTTTATTGTGTTCAGCTGTAAAATCTGGAGCCATCTTTCTGTTGATGCAAGATCATCACCATTATTCAGCTCTTTCAGAAACAGAGCAATAAAGCAATACTGTAGCATGT